GACATTTTACAGAACAATTGGAAAACGAGAGAAATGGTGCAGTTAATTTCCCAGCTATTTGTCTCAGCGTTTAACTCCAGCTAGTCGTTAAAACCAAAGAATATCTTCCCTCGACGCCATTTTCTTTTATTATGAATTCTTTAAATGGTAGAAGCATTCCGGTCCGGAAAAATCAGAATAATATCGTCAATTATTCCATTCAACTCGGCTATACAGGCGTCCAATCGTCGTCTCACGTTCTTCGCGTCGAACTTCACGGTTTTGTATAAACAAATCTTCTGAATTTTCTCTCCGAAGTCCGAAATTAAACGATTCCCGCGGAACTCTGCTCCCCCGCTCATTCTACCCGTTACCGAGTACTCAAAATCCGAATCTCCACCCTCATCGTCCTTCCGCAGGGTGGTTCTACCCTTATTCAGATCAATGTCAATTTTATTCTCTTGCATCCCTCTCAGCCGCGTCAACCTCCCTTTCTTCTGCTCAATTTTAACCGACTCTAACGTCCAATCAATCGTCCCATCCAAATCTTCCTGAAAATCCATCCGAAGACTTTCATCGTCCTCGGAATCCTGTTCCACGCTTCCGAACATTTCCTCCTCAGGATCAAAGGACACACGATTACTCCTCTTCCTGCATCCCACCTCTTTGCCTCGTTTCCAAAATTTATTCTCCTCGATTATAGACGCAATTTTAAAACAATTAAAGACATCTCGAATCCTGCGTCCCATCGTGAGATCGCACTGCGTTGCTCGCGAGATCTTGCCGATTTTCTGTAACTCTTCGCTAATTAGATCACGGTACGTGCTGTCGTTTATCCGATTTTCGAGGATGCCGGCTAAGATGCCAACGTCGTCGGTTCGTTCTCGCTGCAATTTATAATTGACCATGGAATTACTTCGAAAGGGAACCACGTGGGTCACAGCTGTTCCCGAAACGATCGGTTGTGCACCGGATTCTGTTTCGTAACAGCCAGCGAGCAGGTGACCGCGCGCGTTCTTCCCCACCAGCGATTTCTTTTCGTCGCCGACATTTTTGAACGCGTTAACCTCGTTTCGTAAGCCCAGAATTTTATGGTTTAACGCGGCGATGATTTTCGCGATGTCGTTCAGGCTCGCTGCTTCGTCACGGGCGCGGCAGGAACAGCGGCCCGGTCTCGCCTCCTTCTCGCGGACCGACATTTCTCTTGGTGCCCTTTTTTCGACGGCATCGTATATCTGTGGATCACCATAATTCACGTGTCACGCGTTCCGAAATATGGTTCGACCCATTCGCTGCCAATCACGAGTGCACTCGTAAAGGAAGCTTTGGAATCAGCGACGCGAGTCTCCCCGTCGCATCTTAAATACGCCTTAACGTAAAGCGGAACGAATAGCAAATACAAATAGGATTCGTCGGACTGTTACGGAAGAGTAAGTAATGCATGGAACGCTGAAAATTCATATGGCAGCGAACGCGTTAAACTTTCGCTGGTATCTGGATCTCGGTCCTTACATCTACAGCTCGCGAAGAAACGGTTTCCTCTATTTAAATCCTTGCGAAAGCGAAATCTAACAGCGACGCCATTCTCTCCTATGGCTCTGTGTTCCAAGTGAAATTTGAATGTTCCGCAATCCGAGCGAACCGAGAGGTTCACATTTTCGTTGGTCCAAACGAGACGGTCGCATCGCGACATCGGCGATAGCAACTTCAGAGTTCCGTGCCGGTCGTCTGTTTTTTCTTCGATAACCGAAACGCGGTCAGTAGGTTAACGAACATTTTTTGGACCAGAGAAGCGCATTACGCGTCTCACACATGGCGGAGAAATATGTGAAGGACATCCTGGAGAAGCTAGAAGAGATCGAGGGCCTGCACGCGAAGCTGCGCAGCCTGGTACCTCGGATGAGGAACTACGAGGCCGGAAGTGGATCGAACGGGGTTCACGGACCGTCGAAAAGCGAGAAGAAAAGCGATCACGTTACGCTCGAGGAGAAGCAGGGGAAAAAGAATTCCTGGAAACGGAAGCTGTCCGACATCGGCGTCAACCCGGGGAGATTAAAGAGCACTCGCGGCTCGAAGTACCTGAAGAGGCTGCGACGCAGCTCCTTGAACTTCGTCGTCGGACAGTGGCGCGACAAGAAAGAGAGAATAAAGAACCTTCTGGCAGGCTTAGTCGAAAACGATGTCATCCTCGGTAAAAATGGCCGATCGAACACGCGAAGCGAATCCTTTCTTTTTATTAATAAGCTAATTCTCAGGGAGTTCGATCAATACTTTCATAATCGAATTATTATATGTTTCATTTATAATACTAAGAATATAGCATTGAACTTAACACAACTCAATGACATTTGTTTGTTAACCCTTTGCACTCGAAAGGTGACTCTCAGTCACCATTTGATTCGATACAGCAAAATTACAAAGTGTTATATATAATATTAAGTTTCGAAATACGTCTATAAAATAGCTTTGTTTCTTAATTTAAGTATGCTTTCTCGTTAGTTCGTTCCAAATAATGTCATATACGTCTCATAGGAAAGTGTCGAATGTTTCTAGTGAAAAGCTTTTCCGAGTGCAAAGGGTTAAACCGTATTAGAAATTTTCGATATCGCGAGGCAAGGGGTTAAGGGTAGAAACGGTTAACGAGTTTCCTCGCGATTTCCAGTGAGCCGCGCCGCACAAACGGCGGAAGACGAAGGGCCGCTGGACGCAACGGAGGAAGCGCAGTCCGCGACAGGAAACGAGAGAAATCGGCTTCCGCGGAAGGAAAGGCGCTCCAATAAGAAGAGAACGAGCTCCTCGCAGGAGCTGTTACGACGATTACTAGAGCGTTTTAATTATCCCCGCGACTCCGAGCTCGCGGCGCACGGCAGAGTGTCCTTTCACGAGCGTCCTTTAGGTAATCGAGAACCGCGCACCGTGCGGAAACATTTATTGCGACCGGACGAAGAAGCCGAGACGTCTGCCGTCATTTCGAACGCTGCGAGGGTTTCCCTCGATGATAACGAGACGAACTCCTCTTCGAGCGGTCGGCTACGCAGGCTCGTGAGAAAACGCGCCGCGGGTCGCTCGGAGGACTGAGGACTTTTCACTTGGATTATATTGTAACCAACTCCGCGACGCGAGGATCAATGCATTCAAGTTTAACGCAACAACGGTTCAACTTGATTCCAGTCCGGGGATTATGGAAATGAAATTGATGTTCGGGAGCGGTTAAACTATATACAGTGTTTGAAAGTTCTCGATCGTGCTTGGAACTTTTCTTCTATAATAAACGCTTTAAGGACTCTTTGTTATTGTGCTGTATAGAGGACATATTGCGTGAGAGTATATGAAAAAGAACACCATCTATTTTTTATAGATATTCTTCAGATGTTCATATTTTTGAAAGATCAGGGAAGATTCGATCCGTTTTCTAGAAAATTGAAAGTTGGGTCGGTGGAGTAGCAGTGAACCAAAAATCGGTGGGTGAAAAGGTTAGAAATAAATAGGGAATATAAGAGAATAATGAATAATAATAAACAGAATAACGAGATCGTAACGAGATTCGTACGTTTCGTTTTCCTTTCTAATTCACAGTGTAAAGAATAAATCTTCGTGTTTCTTCAGCCGTCGTGCGAGATCGTTTACAGAGAACGCACACTCCTGTGCCGAGTTTTCCTGCTTGAACGGCTCACCTGCGCTACGCCGCCATCTGAACCGGGTTCCGAAAGATAATGTTGCAACCGCACACGAACGAGGTGCCCCCGGCGGGAAGGAAACGTCCGAAGGAAACCTTAAAGCGCCTGGGTCTGTCGATGGGGGCACAGGAAAGGCGGGTTCCACCGGAAGTCACGCAGACTCAAACGTAACATTACGATCACGAGTGGATCCTCTCCGATCGTGCATCGCTTAATTTCTGGTTTCCCCGATAAACGTTGGCTCGTTAACAGCGACTTCGTAAATAAACGGGCATTAACGGGTGCTCTTATTTTCGCACTCGCTGATAGGTCTCCCTTTCTCTCTCCGTCGTTTCCTCTCTCCGTTTCTTAACCGTTTCAGTCCCACCGATTTTCGCACGAACGCCGAGCGGATTTTCTATTCGGCAACTGAACATTTTCTATTTTTACAGAAACGTGTTAATTACTAGAAGAGCAGGAGATCGGTAGTTTCTCTTTTCCAGTTACCTAAGCAATCGGTATGTTACGGGCAATATGATAAAGCGGAGGTTATACTCAACCCCCCGGTGATTATGCGTAATTATCATGTTTATCGAATTTACCATAACAGATATTTAATTTAACCCTTACCGGTCGTAAGTCACCTTCCATGTGACGACAGTACTTCTCTGCAAATATCTGAAAGCTCATAAATAATTATTTGAAACTCCTATATTTGTAATACCCCTTCAATAACAAACAATTTCCACCAAAAATATTCTGATAATACTAAAAGTTGCATTCACCGAACTATTTATCGAAATCAACTGCAGCCAATCATCTACAAAAAGCTGGCGTCCGATAAGGGTTAACTTCATCCGCCGACGAAGTTTTCTATATTCCAAAGAATCTTCGTCCGCGAGGGGTTAAGAACCTGTTTCCCCGCGTAAACATCCGGTATGTTCCGGTGGGCGTCGGAACCAGCGGCCAAGACTTCCGGTGGTGCGAAGTATAGCAAAGCCCGCAGGGTGCCAGGGATCCTCTTTTCGCCGCGAGAAGCCTCCCGATAAACAAACTGGCCGCGCTCAAGAGCGGACCGGGTAAAAGTGCGAATAAACGAGCGTACAGAGTGCCCTGCCACCCTCCTCTTCCTCCTTCTATCCTCCCCCCACCTCCCCCTCCTTCGTCTTCCTATCCCCCCAGGTCGTTTTCCAGTCAACGACTTCGTCGGATGGTGTTGCGCTCCTGCGCACGGGAAACACAGCCAGCCGCATACACGCACGTGGGACGCGAAGGTGGGGCTGGCTATTCCTGTACACCGAGCCTGTTCGCAAGTAGCATAACAACGCGGCCCTATTCGACGGTGCACACGCTCGCGCGAGCGCGCGCGCACCTCTGGCGAACGAGAGATAGGGTGGTGGCCGGTTGATAACGCCGCGCCGGGCGACATCTTTGAATTCCAGGCCTCGCTCCACGCTCTTTCGCGACTGGGATCTATGCTGCTAGGCCCTGGAAAGAGCTGATCCTCTTTTTCGCGACGATAGCTGCGGTGGGAATGACTTTAGCCGATGTTTCAGGGGCTTCGAAGACGCGAGTATGAATGATCTTGGAACTGGCGTGCGATGGGCGTTGGAAGCTGTAGGTTTTGTACGCTTGGTTTAACACTGGAACTACCAGATGGGTCAATATAACATTTCTGATTTCTTTTACAATTACTGAGAAGGTACTTCTGCGAAAAATTATTAGCAAAACTGAAGTAACTCAATTGAAGTCTTGATAAACGCACGCTTATGGAAATTGGTAAGTCAGTTTAAATCGGTAGTTCCAGTGTTACCCTGTTACTTTCAATCGATTGTTTCTTGCGTTAGTTTCTTCTGAAGTTCCGGAGCTTCCCTAATGTTCGTTAGAGATCGACGTTCATAAAACCGAGAGACATAAGGAAGCGTAATGGAAGAAGTTGCAGTTCAGCTCGAAGACATCCGGTTTCCCGAAAGTGCTCGCGCAAGCTCCAGCGAGGCAGCGTAACAAATGAACTCGCCTGATCATTGCTCGTGGCTGGAATTCTAGATTTCCCACTATGTCCCGAATAATTTATGCACCGGCATTGTTCGCGAGCCTTCGTTTACGCTTGGCAGCAGCACGGGGGGCAGAGGGATTAGCCGAGCCGAGTGTAGTGGCGTGCTCAGTCACCTACGGCCACTCGTTTCGTCGCTAATCAAGCGACTCGCGTACCTGGCCTGGCAATTCCGCGAATTACGGCCGCTGTTCGGTTCACCGTTTATGGCGTGAACGGAAGGTCAGGGCGTAGGGGCTTTCTGTTTCCGATCCTGCGGAGGTAACGCGTAAACAGAATTGTTCGAGCGACATACCGTAGCCTGTGGGGTATTTCCATCCTGAAGGCTCGGTGGTCTTTGGGCAAGCCGCGATGAACTCGTCGAATTGGGATCTCGGTGGTAACCTACATTAAAGAGAGACTCGAACTAGTACCTGTTCAACAGAAACAAGAAAGCCTTACAGTACAGACTTAAAATCAATCTCGAATCGTTGCTAAGAAAGTCAAACCTTAGTTTCCAGAATTAACGCTGGATTTCAGAACCCAATCTGAATAACGAAATATCAAACATTATTTCTAATTAATGCAATTGCAGTGTTCCAAGAGAAATAGAGCAAAGCAGAATAAATGTCCGTGAATCTAGTGTCAAGATATCTTATGAACCTCGTCCAACGATCATCTACAATTTCCCTACGCGAAAAGAGAAATCGATTCGCAGGCTGCAACGAGCTCCGAACACCCACTGAAACGGTTAGCTCCTCATTCAGCTTCTCCATCGCGAACAACGTTGCCAAGGCCCCGTCGAGAAGCGACGACGACCGCGAGCACTCGTAAACAGAAATATCGTCGGCAAGGGTTAATTTCGCGGGACCGAGGGCACGCGACTAAAAAGAGTCGCACGGCGTTCTGCGTTCTGCGTTCTGCGTTCTTCCCTTCTTTCCCATCGCCTCTCCTCTCTCCGTCCCCCTCCCGGCGGACGTCTCCTTTCTTCCCGTGGTTCCCCGGGTTTCGTAATGCCTCTCTGTCTCCGGCACTTCCTGTGTTCCGCCACGTTCACCTGTCCGCCCGGCACCTGCCTTCATAACTATCTAGGCGTACACAGTGCACAGGAGGCGAGGGGCTCCGCGTATCCTATGGGACTTTTCGTTTCCCCGCTCGTTCCGCCGGCCGGCGCGCGGACTGTGTGCGTGCCGTGTCCTGTCCGTTCCTCCTACCACCTGGAAACACGACGAGTGCTGAGTACACGCAGTCGTTGTTACGCTGTCGCACGCCGCGGCCGGACTATTCCAGGTTTCCCTCTCGCTGATAACGAGCCGCCTCGGCCAACGATCCTGCCGCCGGCCGATTAGTGTCCCCTGCGACCGCCTCGTGACCGGTTCACCGCGACTCCGGATCCGCAGGTTCGAATTCCATCGCACAATAGCGCATTCTCTTCCCAGTTTCCCTTCGCCGGGAGAGCTTTCCCGAGGAGGAGCTGGCAGCCGGTGAATAGCAGGTAGCTAAATCCGTTGGGGGTACCGGGCTGCTAAGTGTTCTGGGGTCTCTCCATTGTCTAGCTCCCGCGGAGGTAGCATTGTCGCGTAGTCTAAGACCTTTGTAGCAGCATTATGCCCGGTAGATTGGTTCCTCGTCGATGTTTAACGGTTGATTTCCTTTTCCGCGAGCAGAGGCTGTAGAGGCTCCGAGGACGCGCAGCACTGGCTGGCAGCGCGAATGATCTCGATTCGATCTGGATACCGCCGAGGACTCCGGGACTCTGTGTTTGATTAAGTGCGCCGGGAGGATTGTTCGGTGTGTCCATGCTTTCGCTCGAGCTGGACGGTGAATCTCGCTTAAGTGACCGTTCGGTGTTCGCGACGCCTGGGTGCAGTGGTTTAGAATGACATCGGGACATTGGAGCCGGTAAGTGAACGACATACCACGGTGTTATCGCTTTTGCTTCTGCAACGTCCCCTCGCGTCGTAGCTTAACGCTCTGCGGACGAAGACTGTTTAAAGTAGAACCTTCCGCGGAGTCTTATACATCGGATTCTTCGGTAATAGACAAAAGAAAGAATGCACTGATCTTTTGCTGTTTTAGTTGAACTGTTTGCGCAATCTAGTATTACGAACATGAGAGTTTGATCTCGGCAGAGTCGACATTCGTCCGCAAAGGGTTAATCCCCGGGTCGTGCGTCTAGGGCCTTGAGGCGTCGTTAGGAAACTCCCATCGAATATTCACGATCGATAGGAAGCGGTTGGCCCACGGACATCCCGGGGCCGCGATTTGAAAAACAAATTCCGAGCGTGTTGTCAGTCGCGGCAGGTAGACCATTCGGACAATGGGCTGGAGCATCCTCGTAGGTGACCGTAATGGCGGCCGCTCGGCGTGGACTCGCACGTGCGCCAACTTCGAGCCTTCTGCGCGATAATTTGTCCTGAACCGTTGCGTCTTCCGATGATTTGAACGAGTTGTTCGTTAACTAGATTGTTTAATCGCCGAATATTGCGATTATAATGAAGATTGTTGCTTGCGGGTAGATACACGTCGTATACGTGAAGTATATTCCATCGATTTATTTGATTTTCCATTTAAATCGTCGATTTTTCTTCGGCTCGCCTACATCTTCGACTGCGAACGCTAATCGCGAAGTTTACTTTCCTCTTTAACGCCGGTTACATCGAGCCTCGCGGACTTCCGGATATTGAAATGAGTCGGAGCTGAATCAGTTTACGATTGATATTAATTCATTACCGGGTCGAAGAAATTTACCTCGGTATCCGATTTTCGCAAAACACACGATCGAGGAACTTATTAAGCTAAAAGTTACGCGCAAATGATTATCGATCTCGATTGCCGTTCTTCTATCGAATGTTGCACGGTTACCGCATACCGCGAGCGTATAAACGTAAATATAAATATGACCGTCGTATCGTTGGAGCACTTTTGTCGCTGCTACTGTTTAATTATTGTTTGATACCTTCCGCCTGCCGCGCAGGAAATTGCCCGAGACTCGCCCAATGATACTTATTTATTCGGTACTGCCCCTCCATTAATTAATTCGAGGACAGATCAAGCTTTTTGCGGTAGCCTACAGTTTCACCTCATCGAATAAACTGCAAACTTTACACATGTTACATGTCCTAACTGTGTCCTCATTGAACTTCATCAATTCATTTCAATGTCTATCATTTGATTGGCCTATACACGAAGCTTTCGTCACGAAGAATCGACCGACGTTATGTATCAAGAAAATATCTCCGTTAATGGGATAAGTTAATTTGTTCTAAAATTGACGTCTTACACATCAATAGATTGTTGCGATACACATACTAGCTTGCTTTGAAATGTATCACTCTATACGAAATGATTAATAAACAAACTTAATGTGAAGATTTTGCCAAATCCCTGAATTGGTTTTCAAGGAAAAGGTTAACGTTCACAGATTAATCCCGTTTCCACTTTCGCGAGCGCGGTTGTTACGTTTCAATTGAATTTTTGCATTCGCGAATTGACTCGCGGGAACGATTCCGCGCGAGCGGCCGTAGCTTCGCGGTGAACTTTTTAAACAATCGAGCACCGTCGTCGACGAACCCACGAGGTTAGATCAAGATGAACCCCGGGGCGCGATCACATCGCGCTCGAAATACCTCATTTATAAGTTCCCCGCCGCGTTCGCGGGAGCGTCGCGTCGTTCTCAAAGTCCTGAAAAGATTTACAGCGGGAACGCGATACGGTGGCTTCGCGTTACCAATTAAACCACGTCGAATCGCGTAAAATTACGTCGACTCCTCGCCATGCAACGACGCGCTAGACACGTGAGGATTTTTAGCTCGGGCTAATACGAGTCAATGTTGTTTCGTTGCATGCGTCTGGAGGATCATTTTGCTGTTGGCGATGCTTCAGCTTCGGAGTAAATACACGCTTGACGATCAACGGAACGGTTCTTGTCTCTCCCGTGAATTGTCGAGATAAATCTGACGTAACGAAGCGAATCATATGGCTTGTGAAACGATCGCAGAAGGAAACATTTAGTAATTTGAATATTATATGAATGACAGCTCTATGTAGGGACTGTGACGCTAAATTGTTGATAATTATTAATATTCTTTAGGTAAGTTATAGAATAATAAATAAGGTAAAGGCGCCAGTAGACCATTTTCCAGGAAAACGTGGAAAATAAGGTTTCCCAAGTTAATAATCCTTCGACGAAGGCGCGACAGGTATGCTGCAGCATCCACCGAGCCAACTCCGAAACAGTTTTACCCGAATGAAATTGTTTACCGTAAAAACTAACAATTCATATTATCGACGTTGGTTGTACGCCCCCTGTTCCCAACGTGGAATTAACTTTTCATTGGTACTTGTCCCTTTACTTGTAATTTCTTGTAATCGTTGCAAATAAACGATATTAAAGTAATCACCCTTAGTGCTTTTAGCTTCACAATAACTGATCAACTGCTAACTATCACATGCTCAATTACTGATTCTCTCCTTTCAACTTCCGACGCAAGCATATCGCGTTCTCAAAAATGTCTATAAAATTTCGATAAAACTATTTCGACAAAGTCCGCTTCGATAGTCTCTAACAAAAGAAACGTTTACTATTATTTGCGCAATGTTTCTTCCATTTAACAAAATATTCTCGTGCGAAGAATTAATATCTATAAAACGGTGAAAATTCCTCGTGACAGTCGACGTGTTAATTACAACGCCGAAGGAATATCAACGCATTACCGGTACTTCTTAGAAAACTAGCCAAAGATTTTCAATGAGATCAAATTATATCTCTATACAGAAAATATTCAGATATCTTATCGTCATTTATACATTTCAAACGAATAATCAGTTGTTGTAAAATTTCATATTCTCTTGAATCGTGTTGTAGCAAACGCAATGCGTTAAACGGCGCGACGGTCACCGGTAGCGGTTCCGCGCGCGAACCGGTACCGGTGAATTATTAATTCGAAACAATCCGATTGACGTGTACGCGTAACGAGGTCGAATGCATCAACCGTTTGCCCGGACTATTTGCCTATTGCCGTACGCAGCTGCGACCACGTGTTACACAGAAACTTGTCGCGGCCATCTTTTTTCCTCGCTCACCGTGCGGCCCCCTCCGCGCCACGTGTTCCTGTCCGATGGAAAATGTACAGGCAACGGAGATCGTAAACTGATAGAGCGATTTATAAATAGCGCCGCACAATACAGTGCGCATTATTTTATTTACGACGGATTTGGAAAGTTTTATTGTAACGGGGCAACGTTAATTACGGATGCTGCTTAATGGGGTTTTTTGCGAGGGCGGGTAATTATCGGGCAGCTATTAACGATCTGCAAGGGGGTTCCTCAGGATGCGCTGGGAGTTACGTGTTTCGTGAATTATTCGCGGAGTTGTCTCCCGGTTGATGTTACGTTATCGTGTTACTCTTTCGCTGTGAGTTAATATTTGATA